CTCATTGTTTCTTTGTTTAATTCTTAGCCTTTTGAATTTTTGTTTGGTTAGTTTTCACTTTTGAGATAGGGGGATGTATTTTTCATAATTTCATAGGGGAAAATGGGGATCATTATTTATTTTCATATTTCCAAAATTGCATTTCGTTTTTCGGATATCAACTTTCTTTTATATAGAAGAAAAGTTCTTTGAACTAAAAAAGAAAAAACTTGGACATAGACACAAAATATGATCATTCGGCAGAGCGAACAGAATGTAAATCCAGATATGGGAAGAAATAGCAAAATTTTAATAGTTTTTTTTTTCAAGAGCCTGAAAATAACAATATTCAAAATGCCACCATGGTTATTAATTTTACCATGGTTGTTGAAAACCCTAACATAAATAAAATTACAATAGTGCAAGGCGAACCAGAAGCAAAGAAGCCAGATTGGGAAAGAAGGTTGAAACTTTTGAAAAATTTGGCAGTGCTTCTAAAGAATCTGCTACCCCCTACAAGATACCTCTTGTCAAAATAGATGGTACCAGTCCAGCTCCAAAACGCAAATTGTTGTGCACACCATTACTACCTAAAAAATTCAAACTAAAAACTAGTGCTAAAAGCCTCCCAAGATGTCTTACTTCAAGCACAAGCTGAAGAAACTAAAAGAAAAAGACGCAATTAAAGGCCCAAGAACAGCGAAAGCTTTTAGAAAAGGAAAGAGAAAAGAATTTGAAATTACAGAGACTGAAAGATGAGGAACACAAACAGGCAGTCACAGAAAAGGAAGAAATGATACAGAAGACTGAAGAAGAAATTGAAAAGATGATATTGGCTAAAAATAAAGCTAACATTTTAAGAGAGAAGGAGAGACTAGCTGATCGAAAACAACAAAATAACGGTAGGCCAATTTATATGACAACCGAAACTCCTTTGCTTCCTACAGAAGACTGTTATGACTCGGATGATGATGAGTACGAGGATCAATATACAGAACCAGATTGGAGCCAAGATAACGCCATGCACAAACAACTTCGCACTTAGCTAATAGCTGGAGAAAAGATTAAAGATGCACTTTTCTGCTCTAAAAATGATGATGTAGATCTGGTAGACATATTCGAAAACATAGACCCGAGAAAATTGAAAAGAACTTCAAGTGTTCAATGGAGTAAAACGCATTTCAGTGAAAATTCGGACGACGAAAAAGATGTTAAAGGAACTCCTAGAACAAAACGCTGAATACATTTAAGGAATTTTACTTTTTAAGATGTTTTGTTTGCATTTTTACATATCGATTTTATATATATTTATTGAACATAAATTTAAACTTTTTAATATTTGATTGTACACTGTAATTAAGTTAATAAAAAACATTTAAATTAAAAACAAAATGTCATGAATTGCCAGACTAAAGCAGAACTTTTCGGGAAAGAGATAGATAGATAGATAGATAGATACCACATGGAAACGCTTTTGACAGACTTGCTAGAGACCATGAACATATAGAGCGGGCTAGTGTTTTTCCACTAAACTAGAAGATTTAGAAAACATTTTCCAATTCAGTATTATACAGCACCAAACAAACTACGTTTCTAAAATAAATTCAATTATACAGGGTGCTCCATAACAGCAGAAATGGTATCACACTGCGTTGTCTAATATAAATTTTAGTTTCATGCATTTTTATATCGAAAAGGTTTTAGAAATGATAGAAAAGTATGAAGACTAAAAAGAAAGTTTGTATGGATTAAAGCAAGCTACAAGATGCTAGAACAGGCGTTTCAGTAGTTTCTCAAAAAATGTAGGATTTAGTTTAGAATAGGTGAAGCTTGTATCAAAAAGTCAAAAATAACAAGAAGCTTATATTAGCTCTTTACGAGTATGTTAATAATTTAAAATTATTATAAAATCTTCAGACTATTTTTTAGGAATAGAGATTAAAAAGAGAAGGAAGCATAAAAAAATATATATACAGTGTGTCTACTTAAGTTGGAACCGCATATGGAAAAAAATTTATTATTGATTTTAGGAAAAAATTTATTCTTGATGAAAAGTCATGCATGACCCAGAACTTAAAATACAGTCATCAGATATCAAATTTTTCAAGCCGTATACGAGGTTTCTCAAAAAATATAAAATTTGCTCAAGAATAAAGTACGTTTATTTTTGAGAAAATCGAAAAATTTCATTAAGAAAATTGCTAAATTCTTCATAAACATCAAGAAAAGGAAATCGTATCATGTTTATAGTAGAGAAGAGAGAGAAAAAATTATGGATTACTGTAATTAGGTGGATCAATGCAAAATCTAGAAAAAAAATCTGATTTTTCAGATAGATCGGTGTAATTGCATATTTGAATGTAATTTTCAATTCTAATCAACTTTTTCTAATGAAAATTTTCGATTTTGTCAAAAATAAACGTACTTTACTCTTGAGCAAAATTCATATTTTTTGACAAACCTCGTATACGGCTTGAAAAATTTGATATGTGATGACTGTATTTTAAGTTTTGGATCATGCAGGACTTTTTATCAGGAATAACTTTTTTTCCTAAATTCAATAATAATGTTTTTTCCATAAGGTTCCAACTTAAATAGACACACTGTATAAGGCTTACGCAGGAAACATCCTTGAGCATTGTTAAAAAACTTCAACATTATGCCTAGCTTCGTATTTGGCTTTTTTCCGTTTGTTCTGAAACTAACAAGATGATTACGTCACCCTTTCTCGCTTGCGATAGAGCTAGCCTTCTAAAACCAATTGATCATATCACGTGAATCCCGACTTGCCGTAACGAACGAGGATGGTGACGTAACTAAAACCGACGCTATCAAGCCATCTGGAGTTTTTACATTCAAAACAGAATGTTTTCTCACATCACCGAAGCAACAGCTTTCTAGAAAGTCACGCCGCACCGCCATATTGGCATTTCATAGTGACTTCTAAATTAAATTCGGCAATAAAAATATTAGTGGTGAATTTGAATAATTTCTAACAACTTAAATCGAAATAATCAACTCCTATATATACCGTCCACCAATAAAACAGATTTAGGGGTGTGCAAAATTCAAATTTATATGCCATACTTCTTCAAATATTTTAATTTTTCAGTTTGCAGACCAGTGTCCACATCTATGATCAAGACAACAAAAAATTAAAAATGTAGAAAGCTCACAAAAAGAGTAAATATCCATATAGACAGGCTATATTAGCCCTAATGTACCTAATGCTTGGTACAAAGCCAGACATAGCCTACAATGTAGGATAAAAAGTTTTTGGGAACATTGAAGGGATTCTTGTTTTAGGAATAGTCTATCAATCAAATTTTACTAAAGGCCTTTTAAACTGTTACAGTGACTCGGATTTTGCAGCACTGGAGGATGTACTTCTAGACTTGTTGTTTCATATGCAGCTGAAGCAATATAAAGGCTTAGCAGAAGACAGCCAGTAGTAGCAACTTCGATTACAGAAGCAGAAGTCATCGCTGTTAATGAAGTAACAAAAAAGTTCATCTGGTTTGCAAATTTAGTTTCTACAATTGCCAATTAAGACAAGTTCCCCTACTACAGGTGGATAATTCAGCAGCTGTCAAATTGGCACATAACCTCGAATTCCACAACAAAAAAAAAGTCATGATATAACATGATATAACTAATGATTCAAAATTTTTTGGGTTCAGTTGCAATAAAATAGGATATTATACCCTCCTGTGTCCCTTAGAATATGTTTTATTCAGTAGGTACAGCAGGATATTTGTTAGTAGTTACATCTCCTTGTTTTCTCTGATCGCAATAAACCACCGTTTATAGGAACACTTATATTTAATATTTAAGGGGTGTCAAGTTAACTGGATGTGGGCTGTCATTAGAAACTTATGCATCCAGTAAACTGGTTGTGGGCACTGAACCTGTAAACCACCTGTTCTATGGTTAAGGAACACCCTGTACAAGTCGAATATGTAATTTCTTTAGTAATGTTAAATAATGAATTGGAACTATTTTTCTAAATCTTCTAGTTTGTCTGCTATGATCCGAGCGGATATAGTTGACTCACCCTGTATAATAGATAGCGAGAAAGGAATGGATGAACCTTGCACAGAATATGAATAAACTAAAGATTTAGGGAAAGGTTAATGTCAAAAATAGACGGAAAATGCTGAATAGATAGATTTTAATTCATAGAAAAATATAACATTCAATTGAAAAAATGAGTAGTAATTCCGAAAACAGGGACGCATATATAGGGGGAATGGGGGTATGTACCCCCTAAAATTTTGAAACCTAACTACTACTAAAGCGTACTATTATCAAAAATAAAGTGTTAACCACTACCTCCCCAGACTTAAACCCGACGAGGGGGGTAGCTGAGGATGTTTTGAAGAAACAAGACCCTTTTTTTAGAAGCTGGTCAGAAAAAGGAGGCCTTAGTTTACAAAAAAGCTGAGGACCTTTTTTTAAGAAATTCCACAACAAAAGGACCTAATTTTATAAAAATGCCCCGGAGCCACCATAGCGGTCCTCCTCCCCCCATTTAAACTCTAGATGCGCCGCTGTGTCCGAAAACGTTGTTGTCTTGTATCTAACCGGTTTTTTAACGATATATTTTTATTCCATAAATATTCTATATAAAATCATTGATTTACTGTTACTTTGAATATTAAATTTAAAATATGGGTATACTGAGTCTCCAAAGCAAAATAGACATCAACGAACATTTATCACCCAGGATCAATGAATTTACTGCCTTAATTCGTTCAAAAATATGTAGTCTAGTTAAAAAAAAAACACATTTATCCTTCTTTAAACACAGACAATAATAAAAACAAGATGTATATGTGTTAAATAAAATATTTGTAAACTCATAAAAGTATGTCAATATTTTGATTTTACCTTTTATATCCGTTATTTCTTTTTTTCTTTTGCACAACAAATGAATAAATGCTCTCATATAATTATCATCTACAATAAAAAAAAACGACAATCTCGAACTATTATTAAAAAAAAAAATAGTCTTATAATTCCCAGAAAATATCAACTTTTGTCTTTTATATGTTAAAAACCCATTTAAATACAATGAAAAAATAAAAAATAAAACAATAATTTTGCAAAACCAAAAAATTTGTAAAATACTAGGGGTTACGTCATTCATTTCAAATTAAAATAATTGCTTGGAACAAATCTAACCAGAAGCTTGTACTTTTTCTAATTGTGAAAACCGACTTTCTAATGACTCTAAAGATGTCGCTGTGGACATAACATCGCCCAACTGGCCCCTCATCATTTCGAAGTCCAAAACCGGCTCTTTGATTATTGCTTGAGGAGGCGGGCTCTGCGGAGTTTCTGAGGTAGCGGCGGCCAATGCCATCATTTCTTTTTGCGTTTCTCTCGCTTCCACCATGAAGATGCTCTCTTTCGTTTCCTTGGGACTGTATTCGTGCAGTTTATCATAGATCACACCGTGAAGGCCTAGTTCTTTTAGATGTTTTATGGTGGATATATCGGCATTTTGATCTCCCCAGCAAAATATTATCAGCTGGTTTTCCGTAGCGTGTTTTAGCTAAAACAAAATATCTATTAAAGTATAATAGTTTATGTTAAAAGTTGAGTTTTTCGGACGACTACGAGAAGTCTGTCAGGCGAGGTCATTGAGATAGAATAAAGAGAAGATGCTACGACGTTACTAAAAGAAGGGAAGCATATACGAGGTTAATGGGGGTAATTACCCCAAGAATTTGTAAACCTAACTTTTTATAGTTACTAAAATGTTTTATTAGCAAGGGTAATATACCAAAACCTTGATAATAGTCAGCTATTTTTGTTGCATCTAAATCTCAAGAATATTTTAATTTCAATTTGATGAGACATAACTTTGGCATTAATAATCTGATTAGAGTCAGAAAACTTTAGCCTGGGGCTTTAATCAATTGATTACACAGGGCTGCGAAAATTTTGTGATCTAGCCTTTTTTTTAGTTTCACCTATTTACAACTTCTATATAGCTAAAATAACCCCCTTTTTATTCTATCACGTAAACTTTTTTTGTAAACTAGTATCAAGGATATTATCCCTGAACATCACAAACAAATTAAATTGAATTCCTTATTTTTATTCAAAACGTTGAGACGCGTTAAAACCTCGTTACTAGAATATTGTTGGGGATTCCCCGATACTCGATTTATTCAGGAAAGACGGCGATATATTTAGTACAGTGTTACCGTTACTATTACAATAGTAACAAATCTATTACTAAAAAGTTACACCAGTACGTTATTACGACTTTTAAGAAAAGAGGAAAAATCCATTACTTTTTAAAATATCGAAATTTTATGAGTGGCTTTATCTAAACTTCAGAGCCCATACTTAAAAAAATTTAGAAATCTATACAGTTGTTATTTCTGTGTTTTCTTGTTTCAACAAATCCAAGATATGCGTCACTTTATTATATTGTATTATTTTTTTTTTGTTATGGGTCAGTTTTTAGTTTAGTAGGGGATTAGCACCATCCTCCAACATTTCAGCATAATTTATATATTGTTTTTAATAACGTAGACCCCTTCGAGACTTATTAAATTACAAAAATTTACCCTTAGGTGAATTTTGGGCATAAAATAAAAAAATTCACTGGATAAACCAAATGTTTAAAATTTAAAAAAATTATTTATCGTTTATTATCATTACCCCATTCTTTTGCAGCAGCAGAAATAATTTTCTCTCAGCTAAATAATATTAAAGTTTTATTGTTAAATGTATTTAATAATAGATCTGGTACATTTATGTTACTTTAAAATATTATGTATTACGATTTTATTACCTTTTGGTTCAAAATTCTATTACGAAAAAATTAATTGATGTGGCAACACTGATTTAGTATCCCCGTGGTATTGGGACAAGCGTTGTCTATCGAATTCTATCGGTGTTTCGTTGTGCACTTTCTATTAAAAAAATGTCTAGTAGGTGTTGTAAAAATAGGCCGGATGACTTTTGTTAGATTTGTGGACACTTTATAGTGAAGAAGTTTAAAAGAAACATTACTGATTTCGTAAAAAATACATATTTTGCATATTTTAAAGTCATACTTGGAGATCAAGATAAAGATTTGCGAAGAAGCCTTGAAGCATTGGTTTAAAGGAACAAGAAAAGCCCTACCGTTTGGAATACCAATGGTCTGGAGAGAACCTAAAAATCACATTGACCACTGCTATTTTTGTCTCTGTGATATTAAAGGTCATAACACAAAATCTTTAAAGTATAACTATCCTAATCTTTCGTCTGCAATAAAACCAGTTCCACATGACGCTGATATACCTGTACCTCTTCCACCTAAAGTATTACAGTCTATCGAATCAGAATCTTCCAACAGATTCAGAAATTGACATTTTTGAGCCATCTACCTCAGGAACACGTGAACCGCAGCTATTTTCTCAAGTAGAACTGAATGACTTAGTCAGGGATATGGGACTTTCAAAAGACCTCTCTGAGGTTTTAGGATCAAGGCTTAAAGAAAAAAATTGCTCTAGGTACTACATTTTATTGGTATAGAAATCGTGAGGGTGCATTTGTCAATGACTTTGCCGAAGCTGGTACTTCACTTGTATATTGTCAAAATGTATCTGACTTGGTTATTCACCTAGGTGCTCCTGAATACAATCCTGCCGAGTGGAGACTTTTTATAGACTCTTCAAAGAGAAGTCTTAAAGCTGTTCTACTTCATAATGGCAATTTATATGCATCTGTTCCTGTTGGTCATTCTACTCAGCTAAAAGAAAATTACGAAAATCTTGAGGTACTGCTTTTAAGAATAAACTACAGACAACATAACTGGATTCTATGTGGTGACCTTAAAATTTTAGGGTTGCTTTTAGGTCAACAATCCGAATATACGAAATACCCATGTTTCCTATGTGAGTGGGACAGTAGAGCAAGAGATGACCACTGGACCAAAAAAAAACTGGCCACCAAGAAAAAATTTAACGCCTTGCTCCAAAAACATAATTCGGGAAAGTCTAGTTGATCCCGAGAAAATTTTATTACCCCCTCTACATATAAAATTGGGGCTGATGAAACAATTTGTCGAAGCTCTGGACAAAAATGGTGGTTGCTTTAAGTACTTGTGTGAAACATTTCCGGATCTCTCTGAAGCTAAATTAAAAGAAGGCATCTTTGTTGGGCCACAAATAAGAAATTGAGACGGTTATGCAGGAAGACGAAAAAGAAGCATGGACAGCTTTTAAACAAGTTATAAATAAGTTTCTAGGAAACTACAAAGACCCTGAATTTGAAAGTATTGTTGAAAACATGTTGGACAAATTTAGAAAGTTAGGCTGTAACATGAGCTTAAAAATTCATTTTCTACATGCTCATCTTGACTATTTTCCGGATAATCTTGGCGATGTCAGTGAAGAGCAAGGGGAGCGCTTTCACCAGGACATAAAAGAGATGGAACGGCGATATCAAGGGTGCTGGGATATCAAAATGATGGCCGACTACTGTTGGATGCTTAAAAGAAACCGTCCTACCGCAGAATATTAACGAAAAACCACAAAAAGAAGCTTTTCCAGAAAGAAAGATTTTTCAAGAAAACAAAGGATTAATGTATGTTATTTTTTAACTACTTCCCCGGTTTTATTGTTTGTTTTCTTGGTTTATTATTTTCTTTTTTATCCTAAGCATCTATGAATATATTTTTACTTTTGCATTCTTGTAGTATTTTGTTTAAAAACCTTACGTGATAGAAAAAAAACTAAAAGCAGATTTGAAATCAGCGTCACTGAAATACCCAATTTCAGTTGAAAAGTTCAATTCACATTTTACAGAGTATTTAAACGCAGGCCTGTGTTATTAATGCCAAAATTATGTTGAATCAAATTGTAAAATATTCTATAAATTTAGCAACAATAAAAATAGCAGAACATTAATCAAGGTTGTGTTATATTTGGGACGACTATTTCTCTAGAGAAATAGGGAAATAGTACCAAAAAAATAAAGTTTTACCACTACCTATCCAATTTTTTAAACTCTGGATGCGCCACCGACTAAAAGAGTCTGAACCTTTGCATTACACTTTTATGTGCCAAACTCGAGCTGGTGGAGCTAGTCAGTTTTGGTGAGAATAATAAACAAAGGGGGCAATTGCCCCCCCCCCCCCCCCCCCCTAGAAAAGCCAGAAAAAATTATGTTTTATTTTGTCATGAAAAATTGAAAAAATTGTCCCCCTAGAAAACCAATAAAAAATTATGTTTTATTTTATCATGAAAAATACATTAATTTATTATTAAAATATAATTAAAGTACCTATTTTTAGTAATTTTAGTAGTAGTATTGAAGTTTGACTTTTTTTGTTTTTTCAAGAATTGTTTTTGTTACTTTAAAATAATTTATTTTTTTGCTTGAGCCTTTGTGCCTGTTTCGCTATATGTATTTTTTGTTTTGTTTGTGTAGTTTTTAAATTAATAAAAGAAAAATGTTTTTTTTGACGATCTTAACGACTTTTGGCAAGAAGGTGACGGAGGCGTGATTTTTTAACGATTTTAAGACTCCTGAGTAAAAATTGGGCGTGGCAAACCCAAAATTTTCTGCCTCCAGCGGCCCCTGCGGGGGGGCTGTACTTGACGTTTACCATATTGCCCCCCCAGCAATGAATCCTGGGTACGCCACTGATTGTGCTTACGCTTAGATATTAACAAAAATATAGGAAACTTAATATGAAATTATGTTAATTCCAGGTACTCGGTACTATTTTTAAAAAAATATCCAGATATATTGTAAGTATCTCTATTCGGTGCTCATATACTTTTTTGCTGTACCCTCACTCAAGTTTGACGTAATCATGGGTAACGTGTTCATCAGCATCGGTGATTAAACGCGGTAGTTAGAAATAAGCTGACGTTAAATACAGCAATATTTTTTTTATGATTTTTCTCGTTAAATAAATAATAGAAGATAAAAACCGACCTTGTTACAATGCAAAAGAGTTAGATTTTATAATGTATAAACCAATAAAAAATTAAATCGTATTTCCTTTATCTCAACACGTTTATAGCAGCAGATAATAATAAACTAATTCAATAGCTGTAATAATTATATATATATTTTTTTTAATATTGCATATTCTGTAATATTTATTTTATTGTTGTTTCTTTTTTTATTTGAACATTAGAACATTCGAAAATAATACATTCCAAAAAATCTGATTTGTCCAACATATGACTATCCTGTCTAGTAATTATAGGCCTTTTCCGGTTATTTTGTACAACCTAGTGTATCACCCCTGTAAATGTTTAGGGATGAACTAAATACATAGGGGGCGTCCATTAATTACGTGAGGTATTTTTGAGGATTTTTTTGATCCCCCTGTCTCCCTGGTGAGATTTCGCAAGATTTTCCTCAACTCTCTCCCCCCTCCCCTAATTTCACGTGAGATTTTACAAAATTTGTGTTTTAGGTGTAAATGCGTTGGATTATTAAAAAAAACAAAAACAATATGTTCTATTACCTACTTTTATTTAAGACTAGCAAAGACTAGTATTTGAGAATATTTTCGTAATATAAAATTTTTAG